TAAACTCTGTTGAAACGGAATGTGGTGGGATGTATTTTGTTTATGGATATGGTGGAACTGGGAAGACTTTTGTATGGAGAACTCTGTCAGCTGCATTGAGGTCTAAGGGGGACATAGTATTAAATGTGGCATCAAGTGGCATTGCATCTCTGTTGCTACCCGGAGGCAGAACTGCGCACTCGCGGTTTGCAATTCCAATTAGTTTGAATGAAGATTCAACTTGCAATATAAAGCAAGGTAGTCCCCTCGCAATTCTAATTACAAAGTGTAAATTGATCATTTGGGATGAAGCTCCGATGTTGCACAAATACTGTTTTGAGGCGTTGGATAGAAGTATGCGTGACATTCTGAGATTCACTAACCCAAATAGTTTAAATTTACCATTCGGTGGTAAGACTATTGTGTTGGGAGGAGACTTTCGACAAGTGTTGCCTGTTATTCCGCAAGGTAGCAGACAAGAGGTCGTTAATGCTACAATTAATTCATCTTATTTATGGGGGGAATGCACTGTTCTTAGGTTAACAAAGAATATGAGGCTCCAAAATGTCAATAGTCCTACTGAATCTTATGACTTGGAGCTGTTTGCTGAGTGGATTGCAAGCATTGGCGATGGTGTTGCTGGTGATTCAAATGATGGTTATGTCTCTATTCCAATTCCTGATGACATCCTCATCAAGTATTCTGGGGATCCGATCGCAAAGATAGTGGAGATCATCTATCCTGATTATCTCAAATCAAGTACTAATTTGAATTACTTGAGAGACAGGGCCATTCTTGCTCCAACTCTTGAGGTTGTTGATTCTGTTAATGACTACATGATAAGTTTGAATTCCAAAGAAGTTTCAAGAACATATCTTAGTTCAGACAGTGTTTGCAAATCAGATTTAACCCATGATCTAATAGCAGAGTTGCACACTCCAGAATTCTTGAATAGTATTAAAATCTCTGGAGTGCCAAACCACAAGTTAACTTTGAAGATTGGTACTCCAGTCATGCTTCTGCGTAATATTGATCACTCATTGGGGCTCTGTAACGGGACAAGGCTCATAATAACAAGGATGTGTGATCACATCTTAGAGGGGAGGGTTCTTAATGGGACGAGCGCAGGACAGAAAGTTTTAATACCTCGACTATCCTTAACCCCATCCGATGCTAGGCTGCCATTTAGGTTTCAAAGGAGACAATTTCCGATTATGGTTTCTTATGCAATGACCATCAATAAAAGTCAAGGTCAATCGCTCAGTCACGTTGGTCTCCTATTGAAAAAACCAGTTTTCAGTCACGGACAACTATATGTTGCTGTGTCAAGAGTAACCAATCGTGCCGGTCTTAAAATTCTCATTCTTAATGAAGATGGTTGTGTGAAGAATGAGACGATGAACGTTGTCTACAAAGAAGTGTTCCATAATTTGTAATGATTCAGATTGTATGATAATCACATAACACATTGCAACAATCTCACGCTTTTACACTTTTGCTAAAGCATTGCGTGATGGATGATGTTTGACTTTATAACCAATTTAATTTTATGTTTGATGATGTCATAAACCACCCCGAGACTCATGCACCGTGCAACGCACGGGTACGATACTAGTGGGTGTAACTTGTAAGTGTGTAACCTGGTTGAATCTATTTTATTGACATTATCGTATATTACTATTGTCATCCAAGAGTGGTTAAATTTTAGTCCATAAACTGAGTCTGGATTTTATAAAAAAAAAAATATTAGATGTTATATCAGTAGTATTTATTACTTTTACAATCCATTATAAAAGTAGTGGATTTACCACGACCAGGGACGGATCCATTTTGAGTCAATGGGGGCGAAATTTTTTCGCAAAAAAAATTCGCTAGTGTAGCGGGGAGAATTTTTTTCCGCTAATGTAGCAGGGCAATTTTTTTTTGCTAGTATAGCGAGACAAAATTTTTTCACTATTGTAGGGCTATGCGGCTAATTTTTTTTCAAAAAAAAAATCATTAATACATACACGATAACATTTAAATCTATTACATTTTAAGTTTAGAAAATAAAAAAATAACTTTAATTTTGTAACCGTGAATGCTCTAGAAAAAAGTACTGATACATTAAATCATAAGAAATTGCAAATCAAGGGAAATTTATTTGAAAATAGAAAAGGATATATAACATTTTGTCCAATTATTTGAAGGTAAAAAATTTGAAAGGTAATTAAACATCAATCGATGCCTTTTAAATAACTTATGTCTTGTTTAACCACATGAATCTTATCGGAATAAAGAAATGGTTTTTGAATTGTAGTTTTTGTCTACCAAGGAGGGTGTTCATGGGTCACGAGAAGTTTTTTTAATATTACAATAGTATGTATGAGATTATTATCTTTAGAATAATATTATATATAGTATTGTTAATTCATATATATGGTACATATTATATTTGTATTAATGCTAAAATACGTTAAAAATACGTTAAAGTTTATTATTTATGCAATAAATTGCTTTTAGAAAGTAAGAAGTAAATGAATTGTATAATTTAATGTCAACAAACATTTATATTTTGGATTCACTTCACATGATTTAAAATTGTTTAACTGGTGCGTCTGATATTTAATATCATTTGTTCTCTTACAAAATTTAAAACTAATTATCTATAAAGATAATCAAATATTACAAAACCTAGGAATTTTTATATAATAAGTACCCTAAGTCTTAAACTATCTAATTTATTTTAGATCATACTTCTTTTAAATCTCCAATTAAGTATTACACTATGTGAGACTATATATTAACTTTGAAAACTAAAAGGCAAGGGGGGCGAAAACATATATATCTAATTATAGTATGAAAATTTTATGAAAATACTACATATATATATAGTAGAAAAATTTGAAAGTCCAAGGGGGGCGGTCGCCCCCCCCAGTGGCGGACCCAGAGATTTGTGAGAGCGGGGGCACACTAGACACCAAAGTTAGTCTATAATAAAAACTCCAAATGTAATAAAGATGTTTAAAAAATGTATTAAATTATACAGAATAGTTAATTACATATTAAATAGATCACTGATGCAACTTTGGTAAATCGAGCCTACGAATTTTCATATTCTAAAAATGTTGCATAATAGTTCATTATCGATGCTTCTAAAAACATCTTTCTCGATGTAGCACACCAAGTAATCCTTAAGATAGTCATCTCTCATCTTATTGTGAAGATCTGTTTTGATAATATTCATCGAAAAGAAGGTTACACTAAAGCCAAGTCAATCAGACAATATATCAAGTGAAAAGAATTGTGAACTTTAAGCTCAACTATCTTTTTACAATTCAAAACTTCACCAATAGTTTTTGTACGGCAGAAAATAACTCATTTGTTCTCATTTCATATATCCACACCTGGAGTTGCTATTTCAGCTCCATTCGATCAACAAATGAAAAATTGCATAAATATAACTTCGCAAGGTTCAGTAGCTTTGACTCACAGAAATTGGAGAACTTATGTTTTATCATTCTAGTCTTCCAAATGTTAGTGAGTTTTTAGACTTTTGATACTCCGTACTTTTAGTTGCCCGCACATTGGCTACTTTTTTGCATTTAATTTTTTTTTTGTTACTTTTTGTTTTCAATTATTAATTTTTTTTGTTTTTTGATATTTCTGTATCTTTTATTTTAATTCAACTAGAATTTAAATATTTTGTATTAATTTTTTATTTATATAACCGTAACATTTTAGTATCTTAGTTATCAAATACTGGTATGAAGGCGGGACACTCGTTTTTATCCCAAGTACTACTAGTGAAATTTCGGGCTCGAAGCGGGGGCACATGCCCCACCTAGCCCCCCTTAGGTCCTCCACTGCCCCCCCCCTAAATCCGTCCCTGACCACGACCATACATGGTTCATATTTCATAATACAGTAGGTTATGAGAACACCGCCCTAAAAAACCATGGTTTTAAGCAAGTACTTGAGATTCCTTAAGATGCATATGTTTAACAATTGATGATGAAATGCTACTCCCTCTCTGTATCGAAATAAATGTACTATTTTCTATTTTGGGTTATCCCAACATAAATGTCTTGGGATAAAATAAGCGATTCATATTATTTCACTCATTTCAACCAAAATCTCCATATCTCCCTATACTTTTGAAGTATTCTCCTAATCACAAACGTGCGATGCCTTGTATAAGAATGATTGTACAAAACGGGTGTTAATTAGCTATAGGCCTATAGCTGCTTTTAATCAATCTGCTCTGGGATGCTGGTGGAGTGTCTTGTATTTGGTAGTCTATTTTTCCTTGAATTACTGTTAAATGGATTTTATAAACCTATAATCCATGGATTGCAATCCATTACCTTTAGCCATTAACTCAGTGTGACTAAAGAAAATAACAGTGTGAAGATAGCCCGTTTAAGGCCTTGAGATCAATTTCATATTTTAACTCTTTTCCACACTTCTTAGTCACAACCGAAGGTTTATTCTCAAGTGCTACTATCTTTTTAAAGAACTTCCTGAAGATAGTGTTCAAGTGCGCTACTATCTTGTTGTTGTTGTGCACAACAAAGAATCATCTTGAGGATATATGCCTATAAATTCATGAAAATAACTTCGTGAGTTTATTATACAGGTACCTGACAATGAAAGGTGCTTCTCCCCCCTGCCAATGCGTTGCTAGCATATTATGTCCTGACCTAGCTAAAAACATCTACCTCGAGATCAATTTTGAATTTCTTATACTACGTTTTAAATCTGTTTCATCTGCAGTTGCTATCACAATATTTGCTAAGCAGGTGATACAAATACGAAATGACTTTGTATATTGCTTTGTAAGCAGCAAAAATTAGTTTGATTAAGTTAACCTAAAAGTTGAACACAAGTGACCAGGAAAGCAGGCTGCCTCCAATCATGAACCTCACTACAAAAAATAGATATAAGAACCTCTGATATGATGCATTGATGCCAGTTTATTTTTTAAACCTCAAAGGGATCAAGAGCGCACTGAGAGTAGGGGTGGATTGGGACAGGCTCCAGGCCGATACTGGGCGGGCTTCAGGACTAAGAATTTAAGGCCCGACACTGGCACAAGTTTCTACGGGAACCGGGTCGGACTACCCAGTCGGGCTTTACTCCAGGCCCAGGTCAAGGCAGGCTAAGAGCCAATCCAACAACCTGAAACCCATTTTTTTTAATTAATGACCATTAGGCCTGAATCGTTTCCGGCCCGGCCAGTCACCTAAAATTGGAGCCTGATGCCCGCTGCTTCTTCATCTGGGATTCCGGGTTGGTTCCTGGTCAATTGGGTCGGTAACTTCATCTTCTATTCTCATGACGAATGTTTCACACACACAGTCTAATTCTTGTCTAGCCGGCCTGATAGGGTCCATCGTTTGGCCGAGGACATTTCAGACATTTCTCGATGGATTTTTTTAAGAAATTCTTTTTACCGTGTTCTAATTGTTCTTCATCAAGTCTAGTTTATCATACAAAATTTAAGAAAACTGTGCAGTTAATATATATAACTTGAGCAGTATTTTTCAAAAAAATATTTTACTTTCTTCCCGATTGAATTTGTAGCTGTAATTTGGTATGGATAGTCATGGATTGGGCCCGGTTTCGGGCATTTTTTTAAACTTGAAGCCCGGCATCGGCCTGGTTTTTGAATGGTTCCGGTTTGCGCCGGCCCCCCGTCTGGGTTTCGGACCAGGCTGGTTGGGTACCGGGTCATTTTTTTGTTTTTGTTTTCTTGTTTCCTAATTAATTCTAGAAGTGCAGCATATAAAAAAACTTCAAATATGTTGGGAAGGAATTTCAGGTAAGGAGAAAGGAGGATTTGGCAAAGCTGATTTGGGGTTGTTGGGCTATTTGGGGCGAGAGGAACTGCCGGGTTTGGCAGCAGGCTTCTTCTCCGGTGTGTCAGTTTATGCTCAAGGCGGAGGCGTTCGTGACGGGATGGGCCCAAGCGCAGACAGCTCGCAGGGAAGGAAGGTTAGCAGGGCAGAGGATGACAGCTTCTTGGTGTTGCCCAGCTGCGGGGATGGTGAAACTGAATGTTGATGCTGCAGTTCGTACTGGTTACTGTGGGCTGGGATGGTGCCTTAGGGACGAGGAAGGGAAGTTCGTGGCTGGAGCAGCTCGCAAGTGGCAGGGGAATTTATCTGTACTGGAAGCCGAGTTGATTGGAATTAGAGAAGCATTGAGCTGGCTACTCGATTTTGAGTGGAGGGCAATTGAAGTCGAGTCTGATGCTTCCCGCGCCATTTCAGAAATTTTGAAAGGCTCGAGTATTTCTTCCTATGGGTTGGTGGCAGCTGATATTAGAGATATTGCAAACAACTTCGCTAGCATCTCATTTTCTCATGTTAGACGGTCAGCGAACAAGGCGGCTCATGTTATGGCTAAAGCGGCCTGTTCTTTGTCTGACCTTCAGTCTTGGTTTACTCATCCTCCGTTTTTATCTCACATGTAATTGACAATGACTTGATTAATGTTAATTAATTATCTTCTTCTAAAAAAAAGGTATGAAGCAGAGATCACTGATGCTCATTGATAGACTCCCAATACTCAAGAATAGGTTTGATACTCAATGAAAATGTCGTGACGTCCAACTAACAGACCTTATGGTTTTCATATTTATGCTCATTTTGTAAGTTACATATGCTCAATTAGTACTCATATTATTCTCATTTTGAAAATGTCATAATAATGCATATTTCAAAAGTATCATATTACATTAGATTCAAATATTGAAGTTCATATGAGTTGATTATAGATATACTTTAATGAATTTTTATAAAAGAAAAAATAAGAAAAAGAAAGTGAATGACAATATATGAAGTTTACATCACAATACTTATTATTCGACTCTCAATGCTCAGTAGAACACAGCGGATGCTCATTAAAAGTGTATTAATGCTCATCTAACGAATACCGTGATTTTCACTGAAATTATGAAAATGTCACCGTTTTTTAGTTGTGATATCGGCTTTCTTGTAATAACACGGTGCTCATTATTGGACGCTTATTACTCATTACTATAGGACAATTGCTCAATAACATTACACCAATGCTCATTTAGCAGAAACCACGATTTTCACATTAATTACAAAAATGCCACCAAATTATTTTGTTATTTTTCTCTTGGGCCTGTTCCTGGGTCGGCTGTACGGTGCTCACCGTACAACCGGTTGTATGATATACGTACTCCTTGAGTTGCTACCAATTGTGGTAGTTAACAAGCGTCTCTATAGAGTTTGCTTCCCCTTGCCTTTGTGACATGACTTATTATGTTTTGTGGCGCTCCCGTATCCTAGTGAAATTCCCAAGCTACAATCTTTCTTACACCACTTGCAAGTTGCGTACCACTTCTCCGTCTCCGGGTCCTTCCACTTATCAAAATTATTTTCCATTAAGGCAGATAGACTTTTCTTCTTACCGGGGGTTGGGATGAGCCACCCGGACACCCTCGTTCTCGTTCTCGTCGGGGTTGCCGTCACCCTCGACCTCCAGTGGTGGCGGTGCATCCTCATCCTCGAGCTCTTCTTCTTCTTCTTCTTGAATGTCGACGATGTCACGTGGTTGGAAAAAGCGTCCATTATTTCGTTCAATGCTTGTTGTAGTTGCTTGTTGGACTTCACAATTGCATCTCTCCGCTGGTAATCCGTGTCAAAAACATATCGGCTTCGAGAAGAAGACCTGATATGTCCTTTACCTTTGCGTGAAGAAGGATGATTCTTCACAATCTCCTTCCTTCGATTCGGAGTGAGGTTACCTATATCAACCGAATGTCTACCACGTTCCATCTTATAATATATTTTAAAAATATATGAAATAGTAAAATTAGTAATTATCAGTAGATAAGTAATATATATGTAGATATAATAATTGTATAAATAGCAAAATAGATTAAGATAAAGATGATTTAAACTTAAGAGTACTAGTTTTTAGAAATCATGTGCGTTGCATAGGATTAAAAAGTTCTTAACCTAATAGACAAATCGCCAATATTAATGGGATAAATGATGAAACACATTTATCATATTTTTTATTAGAAATCATAAATACAAATGGGTGGACATAAAGCCAGAAGTCCAAAACCCATAAACCGTTAAGAAAAGAAAGCAAAGAGTAAAGGGAAAAAATCCAACTAAATTAGTATAGCACATATGGAGTGTCGAGTGCCTGCCATGTCCAGCAAAATAGCCCCCGTTCATTAACTTGGGACATTATTTGAATTACTCCAATTAATAGTTCCCTGAGAACCCAATCTGGCAATCACCTTCGCAGCTTTATTGTCTTCCTCAGGAATAACTGGAACTTTTTTTATTTGTATGCTCACATATGATCCCTCCTTATACACATTTAACAACCTGGAAGAACAAACGTGCCGTTCAATTTCAGCAAACCCCAAAGATGCAGCCCACACAAGAGCTTGCCAGAGCACCTCCAAAATCCAAATCTGTCGACCCGCTCAAAGGAAGCCCCGCTGCAGCTACCATCGCCCCACAATGATCCCTCAGAAGAAATCCAGCCGCTGATTTGGGGAGGATTGAATTCCTAACATGCTTACGAAAATAGCATAGTTGAGTTCTATATGTGGGAGAAGAGGTCTATTCCACCAGTGAATTCTTGGTCTGCGCACACCCAAAAGAGTTGGAGTAGCCCTGATTATGGATTTCATGCAATCCTTCATCCTTCTCCCTGCCTTTAGTTCAATGTGTTTTCTTATCCGTTTATAGTTGGTGAAGAATAGTTGAGGGGCACCACTGATATTGATTACTTGAAAGAGAGAAGAAACACCATTTCTAGAAGAGATGTTTAAGTAATACGGAGTACTTATTAGTGAAAGCCTGTTATGAAAATAAAACTATTATTTGCAGCTTCGGAAACTTTCATTAATAGAAATATACCTCAGAAAACATACATAGTTAGAAATATACCTCAGAAAACTTTCATCATAGTTAGAATACTATGATGATTACTTTCCTCTTCCTCGTAGGGTGTTTTGTTGGGGGGTCTTCTGGTCGGGCAGCTGAACGTTGTGAGTCGTTATAGCAATAAATGTCTAACGTTCTTATCTTTTAATGCAGCGTTATATGTACAGATCATGGACGGTTGAACTCCACTCGTGATTGAGATCTAGTCCGCATGGTGTGTGATCGCTGGTGTCTTTTCCTATATAGTTTAATTTGAGTGTTTAAATTCGATGTAGGCAAACAATTTTCAATTGTGACCCATCTCACTTGACATGGTTAAGTAAAACAACAAGGCCTTCACAATATAAAATAAACCACAAATACGAAATTCAAAAAAAATTCACCAGTCACACTTAAAAATTTTAAAACCAACCATTCACGTATTCTAAGACCACAAAAAAGTGTTTTAATATTCAAACAAAGTTATTACAGCTTATAATCTTCTGCACGTATGCCTCATTAGAAGTTAGACTACTATGATGATTACTTTCCTCTTCCTCCACTAACTCTTTCAAATTACTCAAAGCTTTTTCACCTTCTAAACCACATTTAAAAAGAATCCAATTACTCTCAATTCGCCTTTGCTCATTAACTGCCTGCAAACAACTTCAAAAACCGGAGCTTAATAGGTACCGGGAACGAACTATATACTAGGTACAAACAATACTATACAGAATCTTTGGAATAGTTTGGTTCCAATGTCTGTCCATTTAGCAAGTGTTGCAATATTAGGTAGTAGGTACTGGTTGAGAAGACAATAACATAAAACAGAGCCGGGCAGGAGCAAGGTTTTAAATAGCCGTAGTGGCAGCGGTAGCGGTCATCGCGGTAGTGGCCTGTAGCGGCCTGTAGCCGACTGTAGCGGTTGCAGCGGCGTGAAATATTTTCAATTGCGCAAAACATAAATGTATTTTTTCATATCATTCACACAACATTTACACATTTACACATCAAACAGTTCGTGATGTACTGCCGGAAATGTCAATAGCGGGCTGTAGCGGGCGGCGTAACGGATTTTTTCCGTGATTTGGAAATCACACGCGAATAGCGGGTCGTAGCGGTAGCGGCTCCTACCGCGACCGCTATATAGCGGCCGCTATAGCGGTAGCGGACCGCTATTTCAAACCATGGGCAGGAGAGGAAAGACACATAAGTTACAAACAGACCAAGCAAATTCATATGAAGCTAGTTTTTAAAGTTTTAAATTCATATGAAGTAAATTATGAGGAAAATAATTGTGACAGTTGACTCCTTTACAAGACATGGCAAAGAGAACACCTTCTGAGGTGCATATGGTCTCAAATGAGATTACTATGTTATCTGTCCTGCTAAAAAACTCCTTTGATTTTATCTTTTCAGGAAATATTACGTGATATATTCAATATGGAAAGCTATTCACATGGAAAGCATATTCCCGTTGGTGTATCCGTTATTGCATACATGCAAATCCCATTACTTTAGCTTGCCATGTTTATTTTATTCCTTTTATTCATTGTTATGGTTGTGTATAAATTGGGTCTTTCGGCCATACAAGAACAGATACAGAATAATAGAAACTTTCTCCATTTTCATACGCAGTATTGTATTAGTTTAGGATATTACATTTATTATGGTATCAGAGCCAAAACCTGGCTAATTTCATCTACGCTTTGCCATACTCTGTTGTCTTAGCAAGATGGTCGTTGGTGATGAAGGCGGCGGCGGCGGTACGGTGGTAGCACCCTCACCATTGATTGTATGTCACCGTATTTCATCCAGTCCGGCGACAAACCCGGAGATGTTTTTGTCACATCACTCTTACGAGACGGCAACTATGGAGATTGGCTCGATGAAATGAGCAATGCTCTCTACGCCAAAAATAAAATTGGATTCGTTAACGGCGATATTCCCATGCCGGCAAGCGATTCCCCTTACCTACCGTACTGGCAACGAGATGGTGAAGGCATGGGTCAATAGCAGTATGGAACTTTAATTGAGACAAAGCGTCAAATTTAAAACCGCCCGAGAAATATGGGAGGACCTTGATGAATGGTTCAGCAAAGAAAGTGCTCCGCGGGCATACGAATTGAGATGCTCACTTGGCACCATCCGGAGAGATAATGGACAGTCTGTGTCTGCCTATTTTAGTCGTTTACGACGGATATGGGACGAAATGGCAGCTCTCTCCAAAACACCCAGTTGCACCTGCGGAAAATGCACGTGCAACATAACTAAACAAATCAATGATGATGCCCGAGATCGAGACCATCACCTGATCTCAGAAGGAGAGCAACACAAAAATATCACGCTTTCTAGAAAATCTGGCGTAGAAAATGCAGCCTTCCAAGCCCAAGTCAAGCCAGTAAAGCCCGGCAGAAAAGAAGGAAAATATTGCACGCATTGTGGCCGCACCAATCATACCTATGATTCGTGTTTTGAAATCATCGGGTATCCGGCCAACTGGAACGTGCGAGGAAGGGACAGCAAACAACATGCAGGACGCTCCGGAGATGGCCACGTGAATAATAGACCTGCAAGGACTGCTGATCGCAACAAAAAAGGAGGACCCCATAGGGCTGCACATGTTGACCAACGAGATGACCTACTGTCAGGGTTATCCACAGAACAATTGCACCGCCTCACTACCTTTATTCGGTCAGAATTTGATAATCAGGGCCCTACTCTTGAGAATGCTCAAGTGAATTTGGCAGGTTAAAAATATACCCCGTGGATAATTGATTCGAACATATTACATGCGATGAAACCTTGTTATCCGATATTATGGCTAACCCATCTGAGTCACCTGTACGAATACCAAATGGAGACATGGTACCTGTGCCATCCGTCGGCAGCATGCGATTATCAAATGAGTTAAAATTATCTCGTGTTTTATACATGCCCTCCTTCCATTGCTTGCTCAAGAACATAATTGTGTATTAATATTTTTTAGGGATTTTTGTGTATTACAGGACTTACCCTCGAGGAAGCTGATTGGGTGGGTAAGAGTTGTGGTGGACTATATTACTTGGAGACTCCTAACAATAAGCGGGTGGCAATGGCAATCTCCTCAAAGTATGAAGTTTGGCATCAACGTCTAGGGCATGCATTTGACAATAGGCTTCGTCACATTGAAGCCTTGCAAAGTTTCAAGAGAAGTAATAATTTTTGTGATTCTTGTGTACGCGCTAAGCAGACCCACCTTCCTTTTCCCTCTAGTTCTATTAAAACACATCAAAGTTTTGATTTTTTTATGATTCATAATAAAATCATAAAAAAACGTAAAAAATATTTAAAAAACGTAAAAAAATTATAAAAAAATAGTAAAACATTTATAAAATAAAAAATTTAATTTTTATTTTTTTAATTTTTTTAAAAAATAATAAAAAATAGTAAAAACCCATAAAAAAATGAAAAAAATTATGGATACATTTCCCACCGCCATCCGCCGCCTCCCAGCACCACCACCTCCGATTGGTGAAATTTCTTCCACTTTTGGTAAAAAATGCCATCTTTTTCTGAAAATGCCAAAAAGATGGCATAATTACTCTTCAATATGCCAACATTTTCATTGAATATGCCATCATTATGGCATTATTTAAAATGTTGGCATATTTTTCTCCGATGATGGGAGCTGGTGGTGCTGGGGGGTGGCAGGGGTGGTAATGTTTTTTTTTTTAATTTTACGATTTTTTTTATTTTTTTATTTTTTTTTAAAATATTTTTTTTTAATTTTTTTAAAAAATATTTTTATTAATTTTCTATTATTTTTTTACGTTTATTAGTATTTTTTTCGATTTTTATTATTTTTGTATGATATTATTATTAATTAAAACATTTCACAAGTTACAAGGGTATATTTGGGCAAACACACATAAATAGTCCTATTAAGGGAATTTAAAAAAATAGTCCTATTTGTGCAATTTTGCCTCTTTTTAGTCCTATTTAGGAAATTGACTCTATATAATAAGAGCCGACTAATGTTAGCATAGTTCTTTTTCCGTCTATTTCCGTCAAAACATGAGAGAATTTCCTAAATAGGAGTAAAAAAGTTTTGAAATTCCAAAATAGGAGTATCATGTTTTTATTCCCTAAATAGGAGTAAATTTCTGCCAAGTTTGGAAATTACAAGGCTTTAAACATGACATTTTTTTCCAAACTTGGCAGATTACTCCTATTTAGGGAATAAAAAACATGATACTCCTATTTTGGAATTTCAAAACGTTTTTACTCCTATTTAGGGTAATTTCTGAATATTTTAGCGTCCATGTCCCTTCCATCCAATTCCGTCTTCCTCTTATGTTTTTCGGTTTTTCCTCCCCGTCCAGTTCACATCGTCTTTACGGATACTATGCGTCGATTCAGGGCACTTGCTCAACCGCAAAAAACTTCCCACATTGGTTACATATTACAGGAGAGTAGGCAATGACATGGGCCAGATGCATCTCTTCCGCTTACTCCCCGCCACCATTCCGCCCTTTCAAGGTAATGATTTCCTATCTAAATTTCTCCATCCTCTTGCAGTGGCACCTATTTCTAAAACTGTTAATTCGTTTGGTTGTATTTCAAGCTCTGTGTATAGTCTTACCAAACATCTGGACTCCTTTCCCATCCCACCTCTTTTGCAACTTTCAAAAACAAGCAATTTTCATAGTTAAGGATTTCATGAATGTCTTCCACATGTTTGACAAAATGCATTAGCCACTGTCTAAGATTTACAATTGTCACTTTCTATACTAAGAGCAAGAATTTACTTCATTCTACTCATATTTTCAATTCCAACAACTTTTTTCTTTTTTATAAACTATAATTTATTTTTTTGCGAGGATTATAAACTATAATTTAATTCACACAATAAGCTAATCTTAATCTAATGCTTTGAACTAATTCACTTACGTAATGACCAAGGCTGCTGGTGTAATTTGGAATGAAGCAGTATAGTCATATAGTCTGGTCTGCTTTATGAAAAAGCTATTCTATTCATATTATTAGATTCCATAAACCGAAACAAAATACTTTATTGTAACCTTTCACAAAGAAATGCAAAATATTATCAATTTTAGGAAATATTTAACGAAGAGCATTGTTGTGCTACACATGCCCACACACATAACTACATAAGTACAAATTTGTTTGTAGTGCTTAAGCCATTTTCTGTCTCTCTGGTATTCCTTTGTGTTTCAGACTTTATACTTTTTGTTCATAAGAATTTAAAAATACAAGATTTATTATATATGTGGAGTAAGTGATAACATTACTAAGGAAACTCAGTTCTTGGAACTTCCAATTTTAGAAGTTAATAAAAAGGAGTTTTCCTTGTTAAATTTGTAACTTACTCCATGTGTTTTTGCAAAAACAAAAAACAAAACAAAAAAAAAACTCCCCCTAAAATATCACGTCTTCTTATGTAAAAGGCATACTTATTTTACCCCACATATTACAATGTCCCTAACAACTACTACTTCCAAAGTGCTGAAATAATTAGTCTGTGGAGTTCCTACGTCCATTTTCTGAATTGGTAATTTCAAAAAATGAGTTTTCCTAATTAATGATGTCACTTGCTCTTGCGCCCCTAAAGTGCTAAATTGTTATTTCTAAATTGGAGTTATGTTAGCTTAACTGATGTTACGTATCAGGAATATACAAATTAGTTTGATGTGCTTAATCCTTTTCTTTATCCTCTCTGGTAGTGCTTTGTGTTTCACACTTTATACTCTTACCAGCTTTAATTATTAACAAATTTAGGGTAAAGTTACTTCAAAGCAAATTCCCTATTGTGGGTTTCGTGTACAATAATATCTCAAAAGTCACAAGATCCAGATAAACAAGCCACTTTTTTTAAAATAGAACTTTAAAATACCAGCTTTAGTTACACATTTTTTATATTATATAGGGAAACAACAAGAGGCTTAGAGAGACTTTGCACTAATGGCAGACTGTCTTTGGCGAAAGTTTATGATATTTTGAGGAAGAAAGGTGTGAGAGAACCTGGATGCCGTTCATTTGGAGACCATTTCATCCCACCTATATACTCTTTCATCACGTGGCTCTTTAATCATGTGGCTGGTGTTTAGGAACACACTAGCTACTCTGGACAACCTGGAGTATTTGGAATCTTGGAAATATTTGTTTTCTTTGTTTGCTTTGCTTGCCCTTATTCTGCAGGTATTTGGCCGGACATTCGTAAATGGCTGGGCATTCGAAGATATGAATACTTTATCAAGCTCGATTAAGTGGATTAGAAAGGAGCACCGTGGAGTTCAGATTAGCAACAAATCAATATGTATAGCCTTTTGTTGCGCCATATATACGATCCGGAGATCCCGTAACTTAGCATACTTTGATCATCTTCTCTTCCAACCCCAGGAGGTTTTAGCTAAAATCAAGATGGTAGTTTATAGAAACCTGGTTAGCCTATATCCTACATTCCTACCACTGTAGTTGTTTTTAGAATCTGTTTTTGGAGGATTTTTCTTTGGTCTGGGCTTGTTGTGTTCTAGCTTTTTGGTTTGGTATCTGATTAGGGAAGGTTGTGGCATGGTTAGGCAGGTTCTTTTGATTAAAGTGAGGGGCCTGTCCCTTGCTGTTTGGTTTGTGGCTGCCATATGTGGGTAAGGCAATGATTCTACCTTATGCCCGCAGTTTGTTGTTTTGTTTTTCTTTGAGCAGGGGTATGCCCCGGTGGTCTTGAGGATTATACAATTTTGGATGAGTCAACATGTACAGTTTACCCGTTTATGAGCAGCAAGTCTAAAATTTAAAATGTTTTTTTACTTATTCAATACAATGATAATCTCCTATGCAAATAATATGTTTTTAGGTCATAGCCAATCATCTTCACAATGGGGATGATTGACTTGCAAGTTCCCCAAAAGCTAAAAGGAAGCTCTTTGTGGAGGAAGGCAATGAATCATAACACAATGAATCAATAGTATAAATATTGAGCAGCCTTATCATTCAAGAAATCTAACAAATCCTACATGCAAAATCCATAAGAAAATTCAAATATCTTTGGTTGTGGCTAACCCACTGTTTTGTTGTTATGAACTATTACTTTTATTCACATAATGAATAAATACTTTCAAGGCAATTTTTAAAGTTTTGACCTATAAAATGTTTTGAACAAATACAATTTTTCAATGTTTGGGCATCATTCGCACGTAGTGCGTACTCCGCTAGTGTGTGTGTGTGTGTATATATATATATATATATCTATATATATATATATATAGAATTATTTTCAAATGAGAAAGTGATCTTAGGAGAGAAGTGAGAATGAATTTGGACCGTTAGATTGAATTCTGTAAAATTGAATATGCATTAATTGAAACTGAAATGTGCATTAGATGAAATCAAAATGTGCAGCACAAAAGGTAAGGTAAAGTGACATCATATGAAGCTAAATTGTGCATTAGGTGAAAGTGCAATGTGCATAAGGTGAAACTGAAACGTGCAAATCATTTTTGTGACTTTTTTCTACACATTTCGATTTTACGTAATGCACATTTGAATTTTAACTTTTATTTTGCACATTTCAATTTTACTTAATGCACATTTCAGTTTCATCAAATGCATAATTCAGTTTCTTATAATACAATCCAACGGTCTAGATTCATTCTCATTTCTCTCCTGGGAGTCCTTTCTCACCGGAACTGCTTCCTATATATATATATATATATATATATATATATATATATATGATTAATATGTATCATAAATTTAGTTGATACTAAGGTGTCATAATATAAAGTGATATTATTTTGTCATTATTGTTTATGATACTTCAGTGTCATAAATTAGTGACACTTTACTAGTGACACTAAATTTAGTGTCATAATTCCTGACCTTCTATGACATTTTTCTAGTGTCAGTGAAACTTTCTGTGACACTAATTTAGTGTCATTATAGACCGTTATTCTAATAGTGCACATTCATTAATGGATCTTGATCGGTGATTAAACAAATAGGTTTGTTCCCACCCATTTCTACAATGTCTATTGTTATCGAATCCTATAAAAGGTGCGAAAATCATCTTATACCTATTTGTATCATAAGCCGTATCAAATGACACTACATCACCATATAAAGCATAATTTCTCCTCGACACACTATCTACCCAGAACACATGCCTCAATCTATCATCGTCATCCACTTCATATGCAAAATAAAATGAAGGATTAACATCTCTTTTCCTCTTCAAACATGTGAGCATCAGTGTCCTTGATAAAGGTCTTTAAATCTCTTCGGAAAATTTTCAAATCTTGTTGACTACATCTGACATTGAAAACTGCATACTTGCTCCTTTATAATGCGGTGAGCTTTACTAGCACCAATGTTAGCACGACTAAATGATTTGAACAATGCTCGATGCACACCATTCACCTCCCTATTTGATCTTAGCATGTGCTGCTTTGTAGAATTGTAGGAGTTACAAGCATATGTGAAGTGCTTCATGCGCTTCACCTCCCTATCATCATTAGTCCTTTTAATCCCACTAAAGCATTACACCCTTCCCTTGTCAACTTTCGCTTCCGAACCTTCTTTTTTCCATTGGATTTACTAGATTCTCACCCGCGCGATGCGCGGGATATTAAAATATAATAACGATATGATATTATTTATAAATATTACTCGGTCATGTGAAATAAATGCAAATTGTCATAGACGTAACATGCATAATAAATTACTCCGTATAATTATAGATCAGATAGTGAAAACTCATAAATAGGTAGTAAGTATGTTTTGGAGTAAGTAGAAAAAAGGAAATGTTATATAGAGTTTCACAATCTATTGACAATGCATAATCATTGACTTTTTTTATTTCAACATGTGACAAATATTGGTCTTGGCTCTTGAGAAAGTTTATTTAAATCAATAATAAAAATAATTTTTGAATTATTTATAAAATTAATGGTATCTGAATAAGAACAATAATATTAAAAGTGTTTGTTGTAAGCTAACAAAATTTCGCAAATCAGTAAAACACAATCTAATAATAATAATATGTAATCTTATTATTATTTTTTGTATTTTTAATACATTTATACTGATAATGAAATGCAATAATAATGTAATATACCCCGTAATATGTAATTGACCATAATCCTAATACTAATCAGCCCAACACTAAAACGGTGCTGATCATCGATTATTACAATCCAAAAATTTATTACAATTGGCCCAGACATAAGTAGGTGACATGATTATTAAGAAAAATAAGTTTATGTGATTGATTTGAATTGATAACGTAAGAATGAAGTAAGAATACAAACTTACCATCTTTTATATGAGACAATCTTTGTAGGACGGAAAAAAATGAAGAGATGGGGCATTATTAGCGGACATTGTGAGTATTATTTGTTGACATTCTGAGTTAGTGTGTGAACGAATGCAAATAACATAGATGTAATAAGAGATAGTTACAACTGATAATTGGTATGAAGTGTAGTTTTTTCGAATAAGAAGCAAGAAATAAATAAGGTTTCTCAACATTTTGAAACACTTCAATTCCTTGTAAACAATATTTATATTATGCTGGATTTGTTGACCATCTTCACCGCAAATCGATATTTTCACAGCGTTGCGATTTGTTATTCTCATACTGTAACAAAAATGAACAATCATTAATAGTTGCTATTTTAATTATAGTTCAACATCCAATAAAGATTAACCTTGATGGTTACTTATAGTAATCATATAAGAGATCATGGCATGAGGTTGTGTTCTTTAAAACTTAATTGCTCTAAATTTAAATAAAAATTGAAATAGTACCTTAATCATACTTTTTATAACATTGAATACGTAAAATTTTGAAAATAATTAATCATAGATAAACAAAAAAATTTATATTTATAATTAATAATATTAAATAATAGTTTAAAAATTATTAGTATTATCAAAACATTAGAACAGCTAAATGACTTAGGCCCATAACTTAACCTAGTATTTATTATCAGCTCACTAAATTGGACTCAAAAGCCAAATCCAGCCCATTTGTGCCAACATATCTATGTTCAGCGCCGCTTGATATATCCGTACACACTCCTGGAGACTCGTCGTCGGTTACACCTAGTTATGGTCTCCAGAACGCTCCCTTCTCCCCGTCTGAATCCGCGACCGTCTGAATCCGCGACCATCTGAATCTCCTTCTTTGTCTCACTGTTCAAGCGACCTCCTGGGGCGTCATGTAAAGCGTACGGTCACCACAGTATGGAATCCACCGCTGCTCCGACCAAATCGAGCGCTTACGCATTTGCGTCAGTCTAATTAATTGGTACATATCTCTTAAGTTTGACAAAAAGTCGTCCTCAATTTCATTTATGGTGTCATTAGTGTTAAGTTATCCATATGTTTTGATTAGCAGTTTTCATCCCTTGCGTATAAACATGCGATGAGTTAAACGGTATGAGCAGATCCTGTTTTCTTTATGGAAAGCATGTACTTTTTGAATTGATATGTTCCGAAACTATTTTGACTCATTTTACGAACTGTTGTAAATGGGTTTTTAACTTTACTATCGAGAACGGATCTGTCACAATATCATATCTGTGGCTAATTAAAGATGGCGAGTTTTTTTTTTTTAAATTGAGGTCGGTAAGTTAATTTGCGGAAGTGACACATACGCACTTTAATCTCTAAATAATGACATTTATAGTCAAAGAATGTCACACATTAAAATTTCCTCGTTGATATTGTTATGTTGATTTAAAAATAAGTGATCAAAACTATTGGGTCTTTATTGATTAAAACTGTTATTATTGATTAAAGAGTATTTTTGAAATCATGTTATGCTGAAGTCCAGTTCGGTAGTACCTATATACTCTACTATCGTATAATATAATCTGTATGTTATTTAATTTTTCTGAATTTTTTTTTTTACTGAAAATGAATTTTTGTAACTATACGCATATGCTAATACGTATTACATATTAGATTAATACAAATGATTTTATACATATATGAGTATATGACTATGTGACTCAATGGTAATCCTTGATACATGAGCTGTTCTCCTACACTCTTTTCCTATGCACACACACATAAGTACTTGAAGCCGGTGTTTTGATTACTCAAGAATACATGTACACTTTCAATGTGAACAATTCAAGTATGACTAGAATTGAATACCTATTTTTTTAAGAAGTGATTAATCTTTTTATCTGGAGACTTTAATATGTTCATATTAAATTGAAGTGGAAATAATATTTCTGAAGCCTAAATTCTGAAACATGTTTGAAAGTTTCAGTTTTGTCCAAATGCAATTCATTAAAAATGTTTTTATTATTGAGAATTGAATTGATTGTATTAAATTACTGGCAAGTACGACAGTCATGGTTGTACCTAAATCAAACTTTAGATCTGTCCCAATTTAATCTGTTTATAACTTAATTTATTTCTTATTATCTATCTTCATTCTTTAAGCCATATAAAAATTGAATCTTGAATTGCATTTGAGCACATTCATAATTTTTTGTAATTGGCAACTTATATAATATCAGTAGCATTTTGAATGACAACTTTTATGAAAAGTATTATATTATTAATATTGATCTAATATGGAAATATACAATGCCCCGGTTTTATTTTTTTAACCCTATATCCATGTTTGAAAAACCATGTTATAAATAAATAGTAATTGAATAATAAGTTAAAAACCATATTATTTACCCTAATGGATTAATAATATTGTTATTAGCATTTTCTTATTTAGACATCTCATTCACCATATATCTTTTTGTTGGCCAAGACCAAAATGTCTTTTTGTTATTTTGAGTTACTTGTTTATCATATAGAAAATGTATATATGTTCTGGAAACTTGATAAGGTTCCCAATCGTGTAATCATAAGAAAAATCTAATTATTAATTAGATTACAACATGATATGCATGTTCAGAGTTTGTGCTGCTTCAAAGGCAGGTATGAATCCCAGTAAGGTACGTAGTATTATTTTATTATTTCAGTTACACTTATATGCTGCATATATGTTTATTTTTGGTCTAATCAGCTTACACTAAAAGCTTTCTATAATTTAATAGCATATTAGATAACTTTTAATAATACGAAATAATTATATTATTCATTCCTGAAATATTATACATATGCAGTATATACATATTACATTTGAAGAAGTGATATATAAACTTTATAGTGATTTATAAAACCTTGATTTCAAAACATCCCTCTGTTTTGGTTGGTAGTTGTGGCATCCCTGTCTTTACGTGTTTTTTTTAGAAAATACTAAACCTGCACGAAAATTGCCTGGTTGTTTTAGAATAGTTTTTCAAGAATCCAATAGTATACTTGTTCAGCCTGGAAAACAACTTGTATTATTTTCATCACCCCTTTCTGCCTGATATAAACAATTATAAAATGGTTTTATGCTGATGTGGAAACATGATTTCAAAAAATAAATGATACATTAGTGTTTCTCACCTTAGTTAGCACTCCACCCTTAAATTTTTGGTAAACTCCTTCCTAAAATAGGACAACAATATAGTTAGATGAAGAGTTTTCAATAGAGACATGGCCCCTAAGTTGCCAACCCAAGTTGTGCTATCATCTCCTCTCCCAAATCTGATTTACAAAATATGTTCATACATGCCATTATTAATATTCCACAATATCAATGTTGAGATCTAAAAATTTTAAACTATGATGGCCACTCATCTGAAGTGTGATTACTTTGATACACCATCAAACTTCCAATACTCTCACCTTCCTTTCCATGGATGTGCAGTGTGCTGCTCTGGGTGCTTCACCTTCATTGTGGTGTGGTTGCTCAAACCATCATTGGGTTTATATAGGGGCGGATGGGAGGTGATGAAAAACAAATTGAGTAATAACCGATGGTCAAAGCATACACAATCTCTACTTTCAAATTTTATAGTACAACCATTAATTATAATATTGCAAGATCCGAGTGTTCACATATGCATTTTGTAAAGCAAGTACATTGCATTTAATGTTGTGTGGCTCAAGAATTGCATGAAGACTTAATGTGTGGCCTCTAACCTTTTGAGTACAATGCTTGTACTTTTTTATTATTATTGCAGCTCTGTTTTCTTGAGCCAATAAACTGATCTCTCGAGCAGCACAAACTGCACTGGACATTGGGCCTGTACTGGAAGTTGCCGAGCAGAACAGAGGAGGACTTGCTGCATGACCCGTCCCTGAACCCATATCCCCTGACCCGGCCCGTTACTGTACAGTGTTTGGGCGGGAACACTGTACAGATTTCATTTTGCCTTTGTATAATAAAAGATTTGCCTTCGAGTAACATACATATCTATATTGTACCACCCCAATTTTTTTTATATCTTTTTTAGCGATAGACTTTCTCATACTAAATCCAATATGATGATCATATACTTTGTAGAAATTTTCACATTCAGTCAAATTTGAATACTCTAATCCCATCTTAGGTTTCAAGTCTTCGTGACATTCTGGAATCCACTCTTTGATAACCGATATCATACCCATATTTGATGTTTGATCTTCCACTTGTTTGTGTGACTCATTAGCCTCACAACCTATAAAAAAAACTCGTTTGTAAACTGCACAAAACGATATCTTATATGGGTTACGTAAGGAGTTATCTTACAACACTCTATTCCATCAGAAAGGGTGAGTTGATATAAAGGAGTAACATTCACATTGGAGTTATGACATGAAACTGGCATCTCACTTGGACTAGGTTACCTAGGTAGGCATCACTACATTCAAATCCATTTGCATAAAAATTTCAAAAAATTGTCTTTTATTCCAGAAAATATACATTATAAATACGGTTGTAAACACAATAATCATATTTATATATAACAAAAAATACAATAAACTAAATAAATCTATCGGATAAGAATGCTAATTTACACCAGTTCGTATACCGTGGGATCTTCCCACGGTGAGCACCCTACTCCTACTTTCAAAACGACGCAGTTTGCATTTAAAAAAAATTGAAAATTTTCACGCGTGAACAGTAACTCTTTTTATTTTTTTATTGTTCCAGTAGCATAATGATGTAACTCGCGTGTAAATAAATGTAACACAACTTAATAAGAAATGTCAATGCAAGCAAGTCGATATGTAACTTGTCTAAAACATTGATTTCAATGTAAATAATAAAAAAGGAATCTAATTGCTAAATAACTTTACCTAAATGGTGAATATGTATTTTTTTTATATTAAGACCATAAAAAGTTTCAAAGAAATCAAGTTTTCCCCAAAAAATCATTTTTTATTTGCAAAAAATTTGATTCATTTTTTTTGTTTCAATAAAATAGGTTTATTTTGTGATGTAACTCGTGTTATGAAAAATGTAATTCGGTTTGATGTAAAATCTAACTTAGGTGTATGCAAAATGCAACTTGTTAAGGCAAGCCCAAATGTGACTCTCGCATAAAAAGATGTAACTCAGACATAATAAAATGTAACTCGTACATAATAATATGTAACTCCATATAATATTAAATGTAACTTGCTAAGAGAAGTCCAAATATAACTCGCGCACATAAATGATGTAACTCGCGTACTACTAAATGTAATTTCAGTTATGAATAAATGTAACTCATAATATTAAAATTTAACTTCAGACAAGTTCAGAGTAAATCACGTTCATTAAAATGTAACATGGTGAGATAGTCAAATGTAAATCTCATTTGCTCGAAATGTATGTGGGTGCAAGTTCTAACGTAAGTTCTTTTAAAGGATATGTAATTAAGGGCATTCTAACGTAATAATTAGAGACAACTCTAGCCTTTAGTCACGGTGAAGAATACGGCGAACTCGTCGGCAATACTAGAAGCAACTGAAGCAAGGTCTCCTAAATTACTTGCTAATTTGAAATACGATTTACTACACGTCTTTGTTCCAGATTTCCGCAAGCGGAAAATCAATATTCATGGCGGCGGAAGCGATATCCAAGGCGGCGGCTCCTATCTATAATACATATATACAAAGTATAATAAATGAATTTGATTGAGCAGGAAGGTTCAAGAGCATTCATGTCAGGAAATAAATTGATGTTTGGCCGCAGGGATAGAAGTTACGTTGGAGAAGACGATGGGTTTCAGGGTTTCTTCACTCCCTGTTTTAATTAATAAAGAAAACGATGCCGTTTTGGGATCGGCACACCATGCTCATGGTGGGCCGATCCCACGGTATAAATTGCGACACTATCTATTTGCTACGTTGTCTAATCCTCATTCTGGATTGCAATTTTAAAATTAAAACGGAATTATTAGAAGCACACAACACATATCATAAAAGGAAATAACTTAAAAGTAAAACCTATATTACTAAGGCTATGTTTGCAACAACACTGTTTGCAACACTGAGACTAATGTTTGAATTAGGGACTATTGTCTGGATCAGAGACTATTGTCTGAAGCTAGATTTTGAAGTACTGAACCTGAATTAGTAGCTGAATGAAGTAAACTCATTTGGCAAAGAGAGCTAAAAAAAAAAGTGACCAGATAATATGGAATTACATTAAAGGGCATCTAATTATTTAATAGAACAAAATATTTATTACAATGATTTTAAATAAATATTACACCCTACTTCGTAGGATTTTGGTAAATATTCCCAATAAAAACTTGGGAATGGTATTCACCAATCTTTTTTATTACAAAAATGAAGTTCCAAAATTATTTCTGAATTTTTGAAACGGCAAAATGTGAGCTGTTTAGGATTGAACTCCTTTTAAAAAAGCACATCTTAGCTTTTGACTTTTAAAAAGCACTTATTTTCCCAAACACTACAATTTTTATTTTTCTCGGCTTCCGCGTCAAAAGTGTTTTTACTTTTTCTATTACACAAAAAGCACTTATTTTACCAAATATTATCCATTTTTACTTTTCAAAATCACTTTTTTCTCAAACACTATCAACTTTTATTTAATCACTTCTCCTCATTTCATTAATAAAAGCACTTTTTTAAAAGCAGAAGCTGTTGCAAACAGACCCTTAGAGATCCCGTACTAAGTACTTAGTTTAAACTTTAAAACAAATTATAAATATTAAATATAAAGATTATGTAAGTAAATGTTAAATACATTGCCATGTCTATAATATATTATACTACGTATTGCACAAGTTAAATAAATAAATTGACATAAAATGCATGGTTAGTCCAACCAAACAAACATTATCATGCATGCTTTGTCCAAGACTCCAAGCTTTTGGTGTACGAAGCGAAGTTACAATAGGCAAAGCTATCACAAGTGTAGGTCCCATAAGGTCCGGTTTTTTTAATTCCCAGGTCCAGTTTCCTCACGGTATGCAGTTCTAGGTGATATAAAAACAAACCGGTGGTATACCAACAAAGTAGGAGTTCCCCATCTCGGATTCTCAACAGCTTTACTTCCCGGCGAGCAGATATACCCTTAAAGTAACGAGAAACCCAGTGAAAGCTGACACTATACCTCATAACCCAATGCCACTCTATAGGGTCTTCAAGCATCCAAATGCGTATGCATTTCCAGGATTGATGACAAAACACCAGCTTGTTCTCCATTTCTAGGAGTTGTATATTTTCAGTGTCATAAAGTTGACAACTATTGCTATTAGTACATGTGCGGCCAGGATGGGGCATAACTCGTAACTCTTCAGTTTCTGTGTCGAAAGTGAGTACAGATGCTGCGCAGACAGAAGGATAAGACTGTGTCTTGATTGCTTTGGTCTTGTTAACAACCCAGTAAATAATGTCATTCAAGATCACAGGAGCTGCCGGGAAACTTGGTGTATACCTAAGAGAGCAAACCTCTCTCCATTTCACGTTACCACCACCACGGCAACCTATCACATACTTATGCCGCCCCACCCCATTCTCCCCAAATATGCAATAAATAAACCTGTAATCCCCTGTCGAGGGGTGAAGATACATACCACAAACACGACCTCCTCTCTTCACCGGTTTTCGGATGGCTACTTCTTCTCGTGTAATCGGGTTGTAAATAAAGAACTCGGATGTGTGATTCCACGCTATATGTTCATCGAATATGAGAAACCCATTATAGCTAAAAATAAGAATGCATAGGACCTTTAGCACGCTGAGTGTGGGCTTAGTGTACACATTTTCCATCATCTTATCCTTCTTTTTGGCACCTTCATCAAGAAAATATAATTGCATTTTGCCCGCACCTAAAAACGGACATACGTATTGTACAAGGATAATTGGAGAAGCTCTTGAGAGTTGGGTTTGAGAGAATAGAGGAGAGTGGACGATAATTTCCTTCCATTCTTTGGAGACCCGTTGACATTTGAGAACTTCATCTGCCGGAAGCCTACTCAGTATTTCGAAAACAATTTCTTTAGGAATATATCCAACTTTCCTCCTCTGAATATAGTCATTCCATGTGTGAAAAATCCATTCTATGCATTCCAATACCATCCTACATAAATGGAGCAAAGACTTGTTGAGCTTTCTTTATAAAATTACAATCAATCAATTGAACATTTTATTAAAAATGTTTCAATTCCAAGTATAGAACGAAGAGGAATGCAAAAGTGGACAGGATATCACACGAATTCACAACACATAAAAAACGTGGGGGCAAAATGTACCATCTGACAATAGTAACTTAATTTCTTAAACCAAAGTATGTGCATGGCTAACTGATGAAAATATATATTGACCACAACATTATGTACAAGGCACTAAACAAGTTTACCATGTGATCATAAATCCGAAGGCCATTAGTAGACGCCAAAAAATCATTTGCAAAGGGTTTAGAAGCACGATGATGCAAATCATGCAATTCAAAAATAAAAAGAAATTGTTTTATGACGTTACATAGGAGCATTATGTTTGTATTCCCCGGTAGGGTATATACGGCCATTCTTGAAAAATACCAGACAGGCACACATTATGGCGTTATATAGCCATATTAAAGCCTAGTACTGGGAAAGTGGGAAATGTAGCAGTAATTATGATGACCGTAAGTTATCCTATTTATGTAAAAAAAATAGTACTTTTGTTTTGGAATTTTACAATGTTCGTAAATTTTCCCAATATAGTGTTGCATTTGTAGTAATATATCACATTTTGCTTCGAATATTTCTAAACCATGATGTCGAATTTCTTTTTTTGAAAGGATGATGTCGAATTTCTATGACGCAGGAACTTATAGTAGTGTTAGGTATTATCCATACTTCTGTTTTCATCCCGAATCCCCTGAACAAAAAACTTAGATTTAGTCCTATTTAGCATCTGAGCATTTTAATATCACCCATGGGCGTAGCTCAAGTAGTGGGAAGAAAGCGCTACAAGGGAAAAGTGTTGGGTTCAAATCCAGGCTAAGTACTTGAGTCAGTTTGTAATTTTAAAGTCTTATCTATGAGTTTTTTTCCTTATTAATGTTAAATAAAATATTATTTACGAAATTAAGGTTTAGTTAAAATTATTTACCAAACTACTGCCAGGTTAACTCAGGTAAGGAAAGCGCCAACTCAGTTGGCGACTTAGAACAGTGTCGAGTAAGTTTGGAAAAGCTGGGACCCCAAGTTTTAAAAAATCTCCTTTTTTTTACTTAAATTGCTATAACTTTTATATTTTAATCTAATTTTCACGAAATATATATCAAAATTCAAATTTTTTTTATTATCTTTCATTTGACACCAATATTGCATATATAAAAATGAAAAAAATTGAAGACACAATTCATGTAGGTGTTTAGACTCAATTTTTTCTTAAATGAATACAAGTTCTAAAATTAAGATCTCATAATTGTATAGCGCAAATTGATGCTATAAGTATGGGACATTTAACTTAATTTATCTGCGGAAAGTGTATGTTTAAGCAATTTTTTTGTAACCTAATAAAACTAATTCAAAGAAATATATGTATTAAAAGGGTTTCAGGAAAATAAATGTCCTCTAGTTGCGGTATGAAATTGCACTTGCACTAAAATAAAAGGTTTCCGGGAAAAAATAAAATGTCCTCTGGCCACGGCATGAAATTGCACTATATAACCAGATATTAATTTTAGAACTTCATTCCACTTGAGAGAAATTTTGAACTTAAAACCTTCTACTAACATTGAATATATAAAAATATTACTACCTCCGTCCCATTTTATGTGTCTCACTTTGACTTGGCACGACTAGTAATAAAGTGATTGAAAAAATAAAAGTTGTTGTTGATGGAGTTTTTTTCATAATTAATGTCTAAAAAAGAATTATTTACGTAATTAGGGCCGGGTTAAAACTCCATCAACCAACCTTTTGTTTTAGCGCAAATGCAATTTCATACCTTAACTAGAGGACATTTATTTTCCTGAAACCCTTTTCCAGTACGGATTTCATTCAATAATTACAAAAAATTGCTTAAACATACACTTTCTGCAGATAAATAAAGTTAAATGTCCCATACTAATAGCATCAATTTGCGCTATACAATTATGGGATCTTAATTTTAGAACTTGTATTCATTTAAGAAAAAATTGAGTCCAAATACCTACACAAATTGTGTCTTCAATTTTTTTTCATTTTTATATATGCAATATTGGTGTCAAATGAAAGATAATAAAAAATTATGAATTTTGATATATTTTTTCTGAAAATTAGATTAAAAAAATAAAAGTTATAGCAATTTAAGTAAAAAGAGATTTTTTAAAACTTGAGGGTCCCAGCTTTGCCAAACTTACTCGGCACTGTTCGTTGCTATGCTTGTGATTTCCGGTTTCAAGCATAAGTCGCCAACTGAGTTGGCGGCTTTCCTTACCTGAGTTAACCTGGCAGTAACTAAACCTTAATTTCGTAAATAATATTTTATTTAACATTAATAAGGAAAAAAACTCTTTATCTATATCCACACGACTAACTATTAGGGCGACTCTAAGGGCCCTCAGAGATGGGTGTCATCTTTATGCATTTTAATGTCCATGGTTTATTTAGGACAACGAAATGCAAAGGTATATAATAAGCTCAGCCATTGAAATCAAAATGAGATAATGGTCAAAATGGTACATGAAGTTGGTTCGATGGGAGTAAGTAGTGCTTCTTATTGCATTTGAAATTTTAAAGTACATGAATTTGTAGTTCTATAGTCGATCAAGTACATTTGCTGTGTCAGAACATTAAAATAGCTGACATGGCCAAACTATTTGTTTCTATTATACAATTGCAGTCCAAGTCATCGAATAATTAACCTATAAACTCTATTTTCATCTAGTCAACTCGTTTTTCACCTTCGCTCTTCTTCTTATGTTTTTCTCGTCAACTTTCCCTTCTCTCCGCTATACATCTTATATTTATGTTGTCCGCTCTCCCTGTTATCCCGCTGACTTCTTATTTTGTTTGCTCTATTTTATTTTCTTCTTCTCTGATAGTCAATGTTCTAAAAGGCGCTAGTCAGGCGCCAGCCGAGCGCCTAGGCAGCTAGGTGCCTAGTCAGGGATATAAAAATTGCATTTTTATCTATATTTTTGCATACATATGATCAGTAATATTGTGTGTATAAAAACATATACATATACATTAACAAACATGAATGATAGAATCATCACATTTAATCATATGTAGTACTAGTATATGATAACTAATCACTTGACTTCATTATGTTATAAATGCAAATAAGGGAAAACTGTCAAATAGGTCATCGAACTTTCATAAAAACGTCAATTAAGTCCTTATATAGGAGGCTCGGTCAGGCCGTCACGATTTGGGACGGTTTCCAGTGGAATTTTTTGATGAAATTTTTTGAGCATGTTTTTCATCAAGTCTAGTTTACTCATACCAAATTTCAGCGAAAACTTCAATCGGGAACGCATTCAAATTAAATCTTGAAGATAACTGCGTAGTTAAATGTGCAGTTATCTTCAAGAATTAATTTGAATGCGTTACCGATTGAAGTTTTAGCTGAAATTTGGTATGACTAAACTAGACTTGAAGAATAAGATGCTCAAAAAATTCATCAAAAAATTCCACCGGGAACCGCCCCAAATCGCGACGGCCGGACAGAGCGTCCTATATAAGGACTTAATTGACCTTTTTATGAAAGTTCGAGGACCTATTTGACAGTTTTCCCTATAAATAATTATAAAATTTGGGTATTTGTACAAACATATATAGATTTATCTTAATTTACAACTTCATTTATTTATATCCATAGCTAAACTTAAAGTATGTATAGTGCTTAGAAAATTAAAATTACAAAATAAAGTCATGTTCGGCAAATCTGGACAGCCTAAGCGGCCGATTAGGCGCTCTAGGTGGAAAACTGGGTGCTATAGGCAGCCGACTAATTTACCTAGACGACTAACCAATTAGTCGGAGCGTCTAAATGGAAATCGGGGCACCCGACCACTGTCTAGCGCCTAAGCGGGGACTAGTCGGACGCCTAGAACGATTTTTAGAACAGAACCGATAGCAAATAAAAGAAGAAGCTGGCGGGATAGCAAGGAGAGCAGACAACAACAGAGAAGGAGAGCAACCCAGGCAGAGCTAGAGTGGGCCAGTCCGGCCCAGTGCTCAGGGGAAAGCGAACGAGAGAAATATAAAATGAAGAACGAGAGAAGGGAGAGCAAACATGAGAAAAAAATGAAGAGCGGAGGCGAAAACGAATGTACTGGAAGAAATTAGAATTTATAGATCAATTATTTGATGACTTGAACTACAACGGTATATTGTGTTTGGCCATGTCAGCTATTTTAAGAGGAACGTTCTCAACTCTCCCCTTTCATCGAAAGGCCTCAGAATTGAAAATCAGAGAAAATTATAAACAAAAGCCAGGTAGGAACAACAAACATAACTTTAAAATGAGAATTTACCCAAAATAGGACTAAAAAAGTTTGGAAATTCCAAAATAGGACTGACATGTTTTTATTTCCAAAATAGGACTAATTACTGTCATGTTTTGGCAGTACCAGACTTCAAACATGGCTGTATTTTCCAAACTTGGCAGTAATTACTTCTATTTTGGGAATAAAAAACATGACAGTCCTATTTTGGAATTTTCAAACTGTTTTAGTCCTATTTCGGGAACTTTCCCCTTTAAAATCCAAGGTACAGCTAAGCTTAAAGATCTAAATTTTATTTAGTAATCAAAAGTTTCTGAACCACAGAATTTATCCAACTTCTAGTTTCAGGTTTCGAGAATAACTTCTAAATTTGAAATATGTGCTGAACACAAAAAGAATTGATTGGAAACAACTAAGTTCAAACAATAATCTCAGAGACAAGGAATTTGGTTCAAACCAAATCATAACCATAGTGTAATAGAAACCAAATCTGCATCCAATAACATAGACTTTTAAAAAAGTATGCACCTCATATCTAAGGGCCTTTTAATGATAGACTGGGGAGTCACCTGGTACCTGCAGAGAGTGAAGAGTGAATATACAAACTGTTATCAGTGTTTCGAATTATGGAAGAATAAATGACAGTATCACACATCTCAATTAGATCGTATAGATCAGCCCAGCTTTAGATCAAGGACGTACAGGTTGCATAAATTAAAGTTCAATTCTTTAACCTTACTACGGAATCGAAATTATTGTAGCAGATCTCAATACGGAATGGAATGTATTAAATGAAATTGAAAAGGCTGAAATTTTTCTGGATATAAACTCGGACATAAGATTGATTAAATATTTTTAGTCTGAAGAATTTGGATGAATAATAGAGAGATGGGATAGAGGGATTATAATTGATTAACAACTTTAGTTTTCCAGGGGCGGAACAAGAAGAATATTTGAGGTGGGCGGTTAAGAAATTCATCAGTATTTCGAGGGGTGTTTGGAACTCATTCTGCCGCTGCTTCTTTTTTAAAGGAGCAGGAGCAGAATCAGTTTTCAGAAGTTAGTTTCCCCCGGGTTCTAAAAAAATGATTCTACGAGTAAATCAGATTATCAGAGTAATTTCTGCACTTCCACCCAAACACTTCAACTTTTATTTCTGCTCTCGAAAGGACCTGAAGCAGTTTTAATAATCATATCCAAACCTACACCCCGAGGCTGCGTAAACGAGAATACTAAACTATATTAATTGGTAACATGTACTCGCAAAATATTCTTCTGGTTCCCTTCTTACTAACAAATGCACCCTAATAAAATTATAAAATCATAAATAATATGGAATACTCTCAAATTATGCAATGTACTGTAAATTTGTAGATTCTGATTTACTTAAGTTATTTACGCAAATCATAAGATAAATAATATAAATCCCTAAGCTTTGGTGAAAACACTTATTCCCATGAAAAATGAAAACAATTCAAAATGGTCCACTTTATAAGTCGCAAAAATGCACATTTATATATTCTAGCGAAAGATACCCAAATTAGCCAAAATACAAAGTCCAAAACCAATTAGTTCAAGATTAATAAAATTTTGAAATATTAAAATCGGAAACGTAAATAATTGAAAGGATAAAAGTTTTGGCGTAAATTTATTGCAAGCTAAATTAAATAAATAAAAAAACGCAATTCAGCCATTCTTAATTGTCTAACCGGCGAAGCCTGAGGCTGAAACGCAACCTAAATCGCAACTCAAAACAATAAAAATAGTATCAGACGCCAGGGGCAAGGGCGCCGGTCGGGAGAGGAACGGCGATTTGAGGAATTGGAACGAGGAACGAGAAGGAAGGTGAAACGCGTATATCAGATATCTGGCCAACTACAAAAGCGCGTATGTCAGACGCGAGGGGCAGGGGCAGAACTTTGATGAAGAGAGATGAGGAGGAAATCACCTGATCTGAGAAGCTCTACGCCGCGGAACTTGAGATCCTGGCCTTCTTCGTTAGTTCAAGATTTGTTTTTGTATTATTTTATTTATTAGCTTATCAGAAAAATTATATCCTATGTAGGTCGGCCTAATCTAGTACGCGGCTTTGTCCGTTCAAAGTACTCGGTACTTTTCAGGATTTAACATGGTCTTCAAATTCAAAATGGAATACTCGGTAGTCTGTAGTCTCGTACGTTATAGTTGGTCGGCCCATTTTGTTTTTATCGGTTCTGTTTTTGTTTTTTTTTTCTTTTTTTTGAAAATGAAAACGATGGGTTCTCGTTTTATTTGTAACCTGATAGATTTTTAGATAGATTTTTCTCTTCATATCTGACATACCCTATGTTTAAAAAACTGACCCGGAATCCGGCGATCTAGACCAAAACCCGATTCAGTTAGTTAAAACCCCGGAAATCATTAAAAATCGAAAAAATCCGGTCCAAACCCGGACCCAAAAACCCTGACAAACCCGGAAAATCCTGATTTTGACCAATATTTCCATTTTGTTTTTAAATTTTAAAGCATTTCTAACAAACAAAGTTTCAATTTCGATACCCAAAAAACAAAAATATACAATGTATTTATATACTTGTTACTTTTTTGTTTCAAAATAAAAAAACATATCAAATTATATAATAAATGTACATAAAAAATAACAAAGCGGAGTATCATTATATGTTTTAATAAGGTGGTAATTTTGGAATTTTATGAGATTGTTTTAACTTTTACATGTTTAGTTAGTATTATCATTTATGAAATAACTATCTTTTATTTTAATTTTGTATACAATTATATGTTTATGATTACTATTATATGGTTGGCCGGTTTATGGCATTGACCGAGTTGACCCGACCAGGTCCGGGTTGACCCGTGGCCTAGTCACACGGCCGGGTCATCTCCCGCTCCGATTTCTTAAACACATCATATACATAGTATCAACAGTAATTTCTTAGACTAACTTGATAACACCAAAATTGTGAGAATCCGTTCGATTTGTTTAAGAGCCTCGACATTTATGCTATTAAAATAAACAAATGTTTTAATAACATGTGGTTTTTTCAAAATAATCTCACATTAAATTACATCATCTCAAAATAATCAAACTTTATGTGGATCATGCACTCACTAATTAATGCTCCGTACTAGCTTCACAATGAGCTTGAGATAGTTTGGATTCATATTTCAATCACGGATTATCTTATCAAATAATCTCGCCAAATAATCTCCATCATCCAATAATTATCCCAAAAATAATTCACCACATTGTCAACTTAGTGCTCTCATAATCCTATCGATGAAGATGCCCTAAAGAGACTAAATTGTCTAAAATTGTTCAATTATAAAATAATTATATTTGAAATATTTTTATTAACACAATGAATAAAAACATATGTTAAAAATTGCTAGAAGAGTCTTTTTCAACAAATTCAGTCAATTTATCCAAAAATAACTTCAATCTTAATTATTACTCCTATTATTGTTTGAACTTATTGCAGTACTAACTCAGATCATATTTTAGTGGATCAGACCAAGCTTTTGTTATTGTAAATATACATAGATCATGCATCTATGTACTAAGGTGCTGTTCTGTTCGTCTTATTCTTATTACTTATTGCTTATTCTAATTTTATTCAGATCAGATCAGAAACATTCAGATCAAATCAGAAAGATTCAGATCAGATCAGATCAGAAAGATTCAGATCAGATCAGAAAGATTCATATCAGATCAGATCAGATCAGCTCAGATCAGAACTTAAAAAATTCAGATCAGAAACATTCAGATCAGGCGAAGAGAACAGCTTCTAAACCATATCAAACAAGTTAAACTAGAACCAACTAAACCAAAAATTTACGGTCGAAGTAAAGACTGAAAGACATTTATAATCACGTATGCAGATTCACACTTATGTGTTTGACTAGGTTTACTCTATTAATGCAAAATTTGTAAAATTCAAAACATGTAAAGTGGTAAATTCAACAAAGTATTTGATTAAAAAGACAAAAAAATAACTATAATGTCCGTAAATGTGGAGTTGAGCAAATCCTAAGTAAGGTGCTGTTCTGTTCATCTTATTCTTATTACTTATTGCTTATTCTTATTTTATTCAGATCAGATCAGATCGGAAAAATTCAGATCAGATAAGATCAGATTAGAAAGATTTAGATCAGATCAGATCAGATCAGATCAGAATCATTCAGACCAGATCAGAAAGATTCAGATCAGAAAGTTGGGCAATGTATATTTACTCTTACGATCCATAATGATTGTGATCATGTAATATATTTTATTTGACCCGGTAAAATAAAATATAATTAAAACAGTCCGAAAGATACAACTTTCAGGGCCGAATGTACAAATCGGGACAAGTTGGGATGACCTCCCACATGAGTGGGGGTTACCCCACGTTTTTGTGTGCTGAATACTTGAGTTGGGGGCTGTGGAGCATGGGGTTGATGTAAGAGTGGATGGGTGAGACATGGTTGACAACCAAAGGGCCCTCTCATCACTCATTGGAGCATTTGAGACAAAACAAGCTCTCAACCCCCTCCCTCAACATTGTGTTCGGCCTAAGCACAAAGAAAGAAGAGAGGAAGCTCTGAAACATCATTGTTCCATAGCCAAAATCGAGCTGGAGAAGGCAAGGTCTAAAAGGGAAGATTGAAGAGAGAAAAAGTGAGGAAAAGCTTGGATAATTAAGGTAATGACTTCATAGTAACTTTTCTTCTCTCATGGAACTTCATGTGACCTTTATGTCACATATGAAGTACCCCTAAGATGGTTCTACACGCCCAAAGAGTAGAACAATGGGTTGAAAGGTGGTTCTAAGTCCAAGAACGGACTTAGAAGCCAAAGAGACCGGTTCGCCGGAAAATAACCTTTTAGAGATTATTTGTTTTGATATGGGTTTTGTGATGATAAAACCTTGTTAGGCACTTGTCAAGGGTGATTTAAGAGCTTTCACGAAGTTGAAAAAGTCGCCGGAGTTATCACCGGAGTCCGTCAAAGTTCGCCGGAGTTCAACCGAGAAGGGTAGAACTTCATAATGCTCATTCGAGGTGAGTGGACGGCTTAATGTCTTATAACTCTTGGGTTAAGCCGTATCGAGAACCTGCAAATGCGAAAACAAGATATCGAGATTTTAATATCGAAAACTGAGTATCGAGAACAGAAGTTCGAGAACTCAAATCGAAAACTTATGTCGAAAAGTCAGTGTCGAAATCCTGCAAATCAAAAATCAATTTTAAACAGATAAAACAACTTTTCGGTAAAGTCCTTGATCTCGAGAATCTCTTTGTGCAGTTTGAAGACTGAAACACTTGCAGAAACCTCGAGAAACCTGCTTTTCGATATCAGAATATCGAGAACCTCAAATCTGAAACTTAAACTGTTCGAAAATCTAGGATATACTGCTTGCTCGTTTTTGAGAGGCGATTTCAGCAGTACATCTTTTACACTTTTTCATTCAAAAATGAGATTACAGCGATTAAAAGGGTACAATATCGAAAAGAAGAAAACAGAGGACTTCGAAAAATTTTTCTTCGGCGATCACACTCGAGCAGGCTCTGATACCAGTTGTTGGTCCCAGTTTATGCATACTAACGATCAACTAGATGGTATTCAACGATTAAACAGAAGAAAAGAAGATCTGATAATGATAAGGCAATATCGAGAACAGAGAAATTCTTCTTCTAGTTTTATCGAGAACTATTTGGGCAGCGTAAGGCTAAGTGTATTGATCGATTAATTTTCTTATTCGGTACCTGTACACAAGGCGCATATTTATAGGCGCTGTACAGGTTACCGATTTAGGTAAACCTTGGAAGTTGGGCCAAGGCCTTTTGGGCCTTATTCCCTTTACCTTATTTATTACATAATAATGCTAATCTAATACCATAAATGGTATAACTAGTCTACTTTATTTAAACAAGACATTACAGACAAACTTGACCCACAATAAAAGTTATAACAAATGTTATATGTATTCATAATGATGTTTAAGAGAGTTTAAACATGTAATTGGCCAAGGTGATTAGGCATATGTGAATGAAACTACATGGTTATGCATGTGAAAAGTATGAAAAATGTATAAAAACATTTGTAATGTTTTGGATGACCAAAATGGCATTTATTTGTTGTTTTAGACATGATATATGTTGTATAAAAATTTCAGGCCAAACGGAGCACGTTTCGGGGGTCAACTCGGGGGTCAACGGGCCGTTGACCCAAAGCCCCGGACATAACCGGCGCCGGTTATAGGGCCTAACCGGTGCCGGTTAAGCTGCTGCCACCGAATTCCAATTCCGCCGAAAATGCGGTTCGGGGTCCGGTTCGAAGGGGGGATTAACCCCGACCATCCCATATAAGTATATTATGCATGGAATTGCATGGAATATGATATTTAAATGTCAAGGTTGATACCTATTGATTGAATTCTAAGGCTTGGTTTAGTCTTTACTATAATATGATATAGACCCTATCTAGTGTGATATGTGGTAAGTCATAGGTCGGGTGGAGTACCCAAGGATCAGACAGTTATCCTCAAAACTCAGTTATATAGGGTGGAGTACCCAAGGATCGGGCGGTTATCCTCAAAACTCGGTTATATAGGGTGGAGTACCCAAGGATCGGGCGGTTATCCTCAAAACTCGGTTATATAGGGTGGAGTACCCAAGGATCGGGCGGTTATCCTCAAAACTCGGTTATAGGGTGGAGTACCTACCCAAGGATCGGGCGTGTATCCTCAAAACTCATAGATTACATTTTAATGATCTAGGACCGGGTGGTGTCCTTATGATAATTTATTTGAACAAGGAGGAGTTCTATACACTCATAGGTATATGGGTGGGTTGGGATTTAAGTCAAGGACATTGGCTATTATTATGTTCCCAAATAAACAATGACCTACGGGTCGGGTATTTTCCAAGTGTATGTATGCTAATATGTATTTCAAAACTTGGGGGAAAGACTATACGTATATGTATCACCCTATGTTTGGGTCTTATACTTAAAACGTTAGTTATTCTACATTTAGCTTGCTACTCGCTCGGTACTTGTACTGACCCCTTCGGGGCCCCCACCATTTCAGGTTGAAGCTCAAGTTTGCTATTCTCACCTTGCTCGGTGAAGTGATCTAAAGGGAGACG